TTGACGGAGACCTCTTACCCAGACGTGTCCATCCATATTGGAAAATAACGTGGGAATTGAAGCCTGTTTCATCTAAATAGAATATATTTTGAAGTGGCATGTTCATCATTTTTAAGCAATATTCTTTATGAATATTGATATAATATCAGGGGGAATTCCGTCTATCGGGCTTTTTTCCAACCCTTTTCTGGCTCCATCCCATTAATTTAATGCATCTATATATTCCCGAATCAGTCATTTTGAGATTAGGTTGTAAATTTTCCACTATATTTGTTATCGTCAATCTATTATTATGTTCTAGTAGCTGCATAATTTTAGATTTCAATTCTGAATCATCTTTTTTGTTCCTCCCTTTTTGATTGATTATGTGATCGGCCAAGAGGTCATAGTAATTAGCAATACTACGTCCCAGTCTAAGACCGGTAATACCAACCCGTTGACCTTATGTAAAAAAATATATATTTAACTAAGTAAAAATTAATGCTTAAAAAAATATTTTGACAAGCTGGCGCCGGGAAATATTCATCATTTTTTTTATAACTAAGCTTATTTAGCCCCTTTTTGGTGGGAGTTTAATATTTAATCAGAGACCTGCAGGTCCGACCTGAGTACACGGGCCGGACCATATATTTTTTTTAATATACCCAGGCAGGGCCTATATTTTTTTTTAAATATCCGGGCCGGGTCTGTTTCAAAGAATACCCGAGTCAGGCCAAATATTTTAAATCGCCATTATTAAAAATAAATAAAATATATTTTTAAAAAATCCGAGCCGGACCTGAAAATATAAAACCAGTGCTGGGCCGTGCAAATGGTACCTTTGAAGGTCTCTGATTTATATATGTTAGCGTCAATGTGTTTTACTCAAAGGTTCATGGCAAAATTGTCAACAATTTATAAGGTATTCTAAACAAGCCGAAATACATTTCCGGTAAAATCAGATCTTCAAATTTAAAAAAAACGCGCTTTAATATTGAAAAATACAATGCCGGAAAAACACATTGCCGCTAATATATATTATATGCTATACTACATGGCGCCGATTGGGAGATAAGAAAAACGGTCTAGTAATTAATAAATTTAATTTGAGTGTAGCTAAAAATATCTTCTATTTGAGCAAAACATTTTAATAATAAATAAAACGCATTACCCTGCATTCATAATTGAAAAAATTGTTATGTTTATATCATATTTTGTATACTTCGCCACGAATTCGCGCCAACTGCGAATGCAGAGTTAGGAGCCATTTAAAAACATCGTTTTTTCAAACCGAAAAAAACAAATAAAGCTTAATAGATGTATTCTACCAAACACAAACGTTTTTTAATGCATAAGATTTTTTTCATTTATTTTTTTTAATATTAAACTATGTTGATATTTTTTAAAGATAAAATGTTGTTTTATTATATGATTGAAGTAAATAAGTGTTTTTTAATATTATATTATGCAATCATTTTAAACAAGCTTACTCAAATAAATTATTAGAATTGTGAATTTTTTATGCTAAAAGGTAAAATAGTTTGATATTGCATCATATCTTGTTGAGTTTACTAAACATCTCTTAATGTAACGGATTTTTTAATTAATTAAGCATCATTATTTGATATAAATATATTTATTTACATTTCTGTCATTAAATTAAAATAAGATATTGAATGAATTTAAGGAAATTATGATAACTCCTTGATCATTATTATAGAAATGATTATTTAGCAGATCAGATATTATATTTATCCAAGAATATCTTAGAACAATTACAAACCTTCGCGTATGGCAGATATGTTGTTATTGAAATATTTTTAATAATTTTATATAAATTTTATACAACTTACATATATTTACTGAAATATTATAAACAATTATATAACAAAAAAAAACCTTGAAAATTAGTTATTACAGCTATGTGTAGTGTTGTTAAACCCGATTTGGGACAATTTTTAAAAATGGCCCGATTAAGATTTTAGCCAAAATAGTATTATTTAAGCCTGAAGATTTTGCTCATAGGTGGCAGAAAGTACCTCTATTTGCCAAATGTTGAGGCTTTAAAATATTTTGTAATATAAAATATCAGCAGCAAAATAAAAATGATTCGTTGTTTGGAAGTAAAATATTTTGCCAAAACCAAGCCCCTGAAAACACTTTTAAAAAACATTTTGTTTGGAAATGACCTTAGGCTATTAATAATTATAATATAGTTCAGTTCTCGTAAAAATATTCAAAAGCTGAAATTATAAGAGATTATACGATTCTTTTATATTTGTCCAATGTCAGTCATAAATGTTTAGGAATAGCTGTTAAATTGCTTTGATTTTGAAAGTATTCTATTTTGTTTAAATTTTAAAGAACGTTAAATATTTTATACAACATTAACATAAAAGGTATTGTAAGTTAAAAAAAACTTTGCGAGACTATAGTCCACATCCACAATGATCAATTAATCTTTTATAATGTTTATAAATGTAAAACAATACAATTTTAAAGAATATTAGAATTAGAGATCTGCAAGGCCTAATTTTTTTAAAATAATCGGGTTTGGGCCGGGCCGGGTCTAATATTTTTAAAAAATTCGGGCCGGGTCGGGTCGGACCTTGGAATTTTTTTTAAATATATCTAAATTTATCAATTTTTTATTGAATTTTTTATGTAAAATAAAAATATTTGATTTTATTTATTGAAACTAAACGACATATAACATATGTCTTTTATTTTGAGTAATTATAAAAATTAATTTCTCTATTTAAAAAAATTCTAGTTTGGGCCGGGCCGGCAAAACTTTTAAAAAATTTCGGGTCGAGCCGGGCTTGGAAAATTAGGGCCGATGCAGATCACTAATTAGAATAATGTAAGGTGTGCATAATGCCTAATTTAAGATTCTTTTGTTAAAATTTAAATTTTGAAGTGAGCTGAAAAAATTTATTGAATTGATATCTCATCTACATATAAAATATGTAATTAATTATTCAAACGTAACAAATATTGGTAATTAGAAAATGTAGATGCAATTCTATTTTTATAAACTTTATGTAAAAAGTTAAAAACAATCTGAAGATCTTAAAGAAAATTTATATCTCAGACAAAAAATATCTTTTGAGATATGTAGATCTTATTTTATCTCCATCCTTGGTTCTATCCCTGACAGAATAATTTTTTAATCCCCCTCCACCGTTTTTTTATATTTTTAGTTACAGGTCCGGCCGGGTAACCGGACCGTATTTTAATTTATTTAAATATATTCGGACCGGGCCTAAAAAAATGTTTTAGATATACGGCCCTGACTAATCTTTTTTTTTAAAAAAAATACCCTAGTCGGGCCGGGCCATATACTTTCAAACCAAATATTTTAAATCCCGGCCATTATTCGCAAAATTAAAAATAATTGTAATATATTTCAAAAAAGTCCGGGCATGGTTTAGTTCTACTAAAAAAAAGTCTTTCTATCGAGGAACTTGATGGCAGAGCCATAGTGTTGTTATACTTTATGAATACAACTTTATTTGAGATGATCTTCAAATATACTAAAATCCTGACACTAATTTTTAAAAAAATTATTCAAAATATAAGAGTACCAAAATTTATATCATTATTCATATCCACTAAAGGGTACTGGAAAAAAAATCTCATGTTTTTATTATTTTTCACAGGTTATCTGTTTATACAATCAGTTGGAAACTTTGATAGATCATTAAATAACATTGAAAATTTACCATATTGTTCGTTCATCCATTGCGTAGAATAAAATTTGTCTGGTTTATTTTTGTAATGAAATAAACTCGGACATAATATTTAATGAATTTAATTCAAATATTATTTTTTTTCGGTCATGGGTTACTTTATTTGAATATTTACTGATATTGTCAAAATGTAATATTATCATTTTTGATATTTTAAAAAAAAACGCAAAATAAAATTATACCAAAATTATCTAAAAAGTATCAAAACTATTTATCTAAAATAGTTTCTAGATACTTTAATAACTCTGATAATAACAAATTTTTGATAATAATATTCGGAAAAGATCGCAAAATGATTGGTGAATATTAAGCTGTTCAAAATTAAACAAATTCTATGTCAAATATCAATGGTTAGCACTAGACCTCACAACGAATATTAATTATTTGAAATCAAATTTCGACAAATAATAATTGATTTCAAATAATTCGAATATTTCGTAATAATAAAATCTTTTTTAAGGATTTAACTCAAAATTTTAATAAAAACCATTTGCACGGAACGGCCCAACCCGGATTTTTTTAATATATTATATTTATTTTAGATTTTTATAAGTAATAATGGCAATTTCAAATATTTGGTATTAAAATATACAGCCCGGCCCGGATATTTTTTTTAAAAAAATTTTCAGGCCCAGCCCGGGTATAGTAAAAAAAATTAAAATGGGTCCGGGCCTGCAGGAAATAACTTGATACTTCTATCATTAAAGATAATAAATCTTTGAAGATTTTTGATTGACAAAATGTTAAAGTCCGACAAAAACATTAAATTCTCCCTCTCAAATTATAGGACTTTGACTAAAGCCTTTGAGAACCAAAATTATACAATGAGGGTTACATAAGTAGTTCGACCCTATGTTATAGCTTTTCAATTTTAATTTTTTTTGGTCAGAACTTACCCCGATATTTTAATTCATTTTTAATTCCCAATCCAAATTTTTATTTATATCTAAGGCTCTGTCCAATTCTTTTTATGTTTTAGGCCCAAATATGGCCCTAGGTTTTAAAATTATGTCCAAGCCCGACCTGACCTTCGAGCGATTAGTATCTTTGATTTTAAACTAAAATGGTTTGTCAGGCTAAAAGGTTTATATAGCCTTGTCTTCCTTACAGATCTACTAAATAAATTAAAACCCAATCAGATTTTTCGAGTAAGTATAATATTATATATAATTTTTATTTTAATATACTAAATTCGTTATATAGTATTATAATAAAATTAATATTCGTCAAATAATTAAATTTTTTTTAAAATAAAATATTTTCCCAATATTGAAATATGATTAAATGTATTATATATACATAATATATACTAAGTTATGGATATTCTTTATAAGGGTACATTTTTTTTATTATAGATTCTCTGGTGAAATTTTGTTTAAATGCAGTTTGAACGATATTTAATGAGTTTTCGCGACCCCTAAACGAATTATCTTCAGCTCGAGTCCATGATATTGTAAAGGGATTAGCGTCTCCTTTGACTTCTTTTATTACACTAGGTCTCATCTCCTGCATTTCTAATGGTTCATCAATAATTCTAGATGTTTTTGATTTAGTCATACAGGGAGAATTTCCTGATTTGACATGGAAAGTGTTGTTCAAGGAGATAAAATCTCCCCATCCCCATTCGTATTTGATACATAAGGCTTGGTAGTTAAATTCTGTGTGGTTACTTGGATTAGTATTTAAGTTGTTAACATGTGTTCTTTCATAACTTTGTACGGGAAATGTGGCGATTTTATCTTGCGATTTAGCGTTAATTTTAATTTTGTTTACTTCATCGGATTCTGATGATGAAGGAAGGGATAAATTATGCATGTTAGATGTGGTATCTTTAGGTTTACGAATATATTTATTTACATTTTTTTTATTGCTTAGCAATTTTGGTTGTCGCGAATGTTTAAGCATGTGCTCCTTGAGTTTCGTGATTTCGGAATAGGACATTCCGCATTCTGTACATATATAAATCCTCAAATGCTTAGAATAAAAATGAGAATAAATATGTTCTTTCAACTTATCTTCCCCCGGAAAACATTTGTAGCAACTGTTGCATTTGAAGGGTAAATCTTTTTAAGAATAAAGAATATATATAAGATTATTTTCTAAGGCTTATTTAATATGTTTAAATAAGAGTATTATTTTTTTTACAGATTATTTTTTATATCAGACATAATATTATGCTATCGTCATTTAAAATTTCTGATTATACCGAAATGTATTCCAGTATGTCTAGAGTACCCTATTTCAAAGATTTTTGGTACGAACTTTTGAACATACTTTATGTATTAATTTTTTTTAAATTAAAAATACAAGAAAGTTTCTTGCTAAAATTGTCTAAATGTTGTTACAATGCATATACTTTCCGGTCAAATCAGATTTTTCAATTTTAAAAAATTTGCCCTAGATAAATAATTTAAAATTGGCAGATTCCGTATCCACATGAAATCCACATCCCAATACCACATATGTCAATATATATTATCCCAGATTAAACCTTTTAAATATGATCGGTTAAGTGCATAATCCCTTAGTACGAAATAAATAAGCCATTTTGAGAATATTGCTTGAAAAAAGTTAAATATCTTATAAATGCAAACCGGTTAAGTAAGAATTCTCGGATAAATGTGAAAGTTTTATTGTCATTTTAAATTTATAAAGTAAAATATATTTCATTCATTACCTTCCATATCATAAAAAGTTTAAAATTTTTTTAAAAAAAATGATACAATTAAAGTTTGAAATAATACGATTAAATTTTAAAAAAAAAATGATACAATTAAAGTTTGAAATAATACGATTAAATTTTTAAATAATACGATTAAAATTTAAAAATAATCTACAGATTTTAAATACTGAACAAGTTTAAACAGATACTTAACATTAGACAAATAAAATTTTTTTTAGCCCGACCCTTATAATTCATAGCCCAAGTCCGATTTTTAGCCCGTCTATGCAATGCCGATCTCTACTTTATACTTTTGAAATTACTAAATTAAATGCTACAATACCATTATAATATTTTAATTAAAATTTGCTAATATTTTTTGATTTTCTTTTCTTTATATATATTTATTAATTATTAACCTTTTTGATGACACTTAGAATGGAATAAGAGACTGGCCACTTGAGAGAATCTTTTTTTGCAAGTGGCGATATTGCAAATATAGGGTCTATCACCAGTGTGCACCCTTGTGTGTTGGGTTAGATGAGACATTTGTGTAAATCTTTTTGAGCATATGAGGCAACAGTAGGGCTTGACTCCTAAATGAATTCGCAAATGTTGATTAAGATGAAAAGCATTGGAAAATGTTCTAGGACAAAGATTGCATTTTAACCTATTGTGCGGTGACATTTTATTCAAAGAAATATTCTCCGATTTATTCATCTTCCTAAATGAGGAAATAATAATTAAATCTTTGAAATAATCTTTTTGTTTTTGAAATTGAAAAAAAATTTGATTTTGAAATTTTAATGATTTTTGATAATAATATTACAAAAACAATTCTAGTAAAAAAAATTTTTGTAAAGCTTTTAATTACTCTATTCGACGTCAATTGAGAATACATATATTCCTTCTTTCGAATTTTGGAAAAATAACTCATTTCATCTCGTATATTTTTTAATTTTTTTTTATTTATATAATAATATTATAAAATTTTTTTTTTTAATATTTGAAATTAAATAAATAAACAATTTGAATTCAAAAACAATTTCAAGAAAGATGATGATAGTTACAAAATAAAATTCCAAAAAATAAATAAATTATTAATTAGAATAAAATGCTTACGTATACTTTTTAAAATTTAATTAGGTTGGGTAAATTTTCGAAAAAATGTATGCTAATTAGAGATCCATAAAGCTACACATCTTGCCCGTTAAATTTTTTGCTCAATCCGCTATGATTTTTCAAAAAATTGACCCCCCCCCCGTTAAAATTATACGAAAAGTTTTCCTGATGTCAGAGGCACGTAACTAATAATATTAAACAGTTCGATTTATATTTTCCCCATTTTAGGGAAGCTTGGAGATTTCGCTCATAGGTGGCAGAAAAATTTGGGCATCTATTGAAGAAATCTCGAGGGTTACGTAATATTATTTTGGCTAACATTTAAATTTGGATAAATCGGTCCATTTAACAAATAACACAATACTACGCATAACCAAGTGATGGGAAGTGAAACTTGTCTGTTCTCGTAAATATCATCTTAAGCTAATAACCCCCCTACTCCAAATGTATACAATATATCTAAACCAGAGACCTGCAGGACTGGCCTTAACCCGAGCCGGGACATATTTTAATTTTTTAAATATACCCAGGCCATGCCTAAAAAAATTTTTTAATATCCGGGACCCGTATATTTTAAAACCAAATATTTTAAATCGCCTATTATATCTATAAAAATTAAAAATAAATATTATATTTTTTTTAAAAAATCTTGGGGCATAAAAAGAATTTTTTTAAAAATTCAGGCGGGCCGGGCCTGAAAATATAAGCCCTGGCCGAGCCCAAAAAAAATCTTTTAAATGAGCCGGACTAGTGGGCAATTGGTAAGCTCTTCAGAATACGAAAATTTTTTAAATATAGATAAATTGCTACCATATCTCACTGCTTATAAGAATCAATGCCCTGGGCCGTCAAAAGTCTCGGCATGGTGCTGATTAAATCAAATGTAAACTTAGATATTTATTCATAAATTTTTCTAATATATTTTAGATTATAATTCTAACTATGGATTATTATGAGAGTATATGAGATTCCTTAGCTAAAAAAATTAGTTGTATTATTTTTAATCAATTAGGAATATTTGGGCACAAATTGTTGAAAACACTTTTCATTTCTAATTAAGTAAATGCCGATTTGGAGCAGAACATACATTTTGCAGCCCCATAATAGTAGGTTGAAAAAAAAATATTGCTTGCGAGAGGCCCAAACCTGTCATCTATGAGCAAAATCTCCAGGCTTGCATAATATTTTTTGGCTAAAATATTACGCAAACATTTTTTAAAAATCGACCCTTATTTTTATAATAATGCTATGATTTTATAAGCTATTTCATCTATCATTTCTCATAAAAAATAAACTATATCATAAAAACAACCAATCCCTTATTAATTTTAAAATAAAAATAATTAAAAAAATATTAATATACCCCTTTCAAATAAGCGATAACCAAATTATTATTATAGAATATAAAATATAATAGTTAGCATAAAAAAATTCATATAAATCACATTTAAATGTGTAAAAAAGTGGATAATGTTTAAATATAATAACGTTTTCAAATAAAATATCATTTAATCTCTGCCTAGGTTTATTAATTAAATTTTCAAAACTGAATAATCTTTCTTCCGTAGCAGATATGGGAAATTAGAATTATATTTAAAAAATTATAAATTTGGTAATTTTAAAATTATTTATAATACTTCGAACTCTATATTGTTCGAAGCATTTTATAGAATTTTCAAAGCTAATATAATGGTCTTTCCCAATATAAGGAGATAAAATATTTGTCTAGTTTCTTATCTTTGAGTTAAATTGGCTAGATCTAAAAACATTATGCGAATATTTTTTACCTCATGTGATCCATCTATTTTTAAAATAAGGATGTGCGAATTTCTAAAAAGGATCTCTTATATTTTCCATCTAACATTATTAAATGACATGTAGATGATGTGGACGTTATTAGGGTTACAGATTCTCTGATTAAAATATCTAATAAACATATTATTAATAATATTTTAAAAAACTCAGTGGAAGTGGGATCTATATAATCTTCTTATAGTCTATATTAATATCTATTCAAAAAGTTATACCTTCGGTTTCACTTTCGTAAATAGTTAATTTAAAAATAAAATGGGATTAAATACATTAATTTTTTTTCCCTAAACTCGGGTTACAAATTTTATATTTAAATAATAAAGTTGTGGATTTATATTTAAAATTTAATTTATAATAAAAATAAATTTAAAAACTGTCTAAAAATATTTCTATTGCAGGCCTGGGCCGAGTTTGATCAAAAAATTAAGGCCCATGAAGGTCTCTGGTAGGAATGCATTAAAATAAAATAAGAGATAAACCAATCGATAGAATAATTTCTAGATATTGGACAGGTGGGTTAAACAAGATTTTTAGATAAATGTAAGGCATGATAATTTTTAAAAAAAATCATGCGGAGAGAGTAAGTGGGCTAAAAAATAATTTAAACAGGGGCGGGCGTTCCGATCTTTTTCAAAAAAAAGATAACTTAATAACCAACGATCAGTCCATTTATTTTTTGAGTGTGTCCTAAATTGTTCTTTATTTTTTTTTTCTCATTTTTATATTATTTTTCGGAATGTTCCCAGAATCATAGCTTCCCATAATTTCCCCCAAGTTCCGATCCCGGGACGTTTTCAGAACGTTCCGTTTCATATCTCAGAGTTAAACCAATTTGATTTAATTAACCAACCCTAAAATAATATGAAAGCGATCAAGAGTTTTCAATTTTATCATTTAATAATTGATAGAGTATATCTATATTCCAGCAAATTTTAATTTTTATTTACATTTATAATACATGTCATCATTTGCTTTGTTGATTTAGATAATTTGCGCAAATTCATTGATAAATTATTACTTTGGCTTTAAAAGATAGATGTGGAATAAACTTGTTATTTTCTCCACGTATTTTATTGATTTTCCTATTAATTACTATTACCTATGCGTTTTTCAAGATTTATTTTTATGAATATAAAATTACCAGAGACTTCAGAGGTATCATTTGCAAGACCCATTTTTTCTTTTAAAAAAATTTCAGGTCCGGCTCGGATTTTTTTGTAATATATTGTATTCATTTTTAATTTTGATAGTTAATAATGACTATTTAGAATTTTTAGTTTTAAAATATAGGGCCCGGCTATTTTTTTAGAAAAAATTATAAACCCGGCTCGGTCCGGTTATATTTAAAAAAATAAAATACGGCCCAGCTCGTGTACCCATTCCGGTTTCTGATTTATATTTTTAAATATGTAAATATATTTATTTTTAATATAAAATGCACTAAACCCTTTTTAAATTCGAGGTGTCAGTTTTGGTTTGCATAATTTTAAACTTCGGGTCCAAAATTTTTCTTTCTAAGAACCCAGGTTTTCTAATCCATACTTGCTCGGTTCGCAATTAGACCTACCATATTATAAAATTGAGTTCGAGAGACCTTCAATGATTAAAATGATAAAAAAAATTTAGAAAGCGGGATTACGCCGAACAAAGGCAATTACATTTTATATTAGTGTTGGTGAATTTGTTTTATCGAATTACAAATTTATCAATCTTTATTTGTGTTGTTAAACGACTCGCCGAGTCGGCTTAACTACGACTCAAGTTGAGTTTTTAGTCCAACATTTTTCATACTTATTAAGTCAAATATAAAAAAATCAAATGGAAATCTCTAAATATTTTTCTGAAAGAATCTATTTTATTTAAAATATTGTTATCTTTAGAAATAAATTTTGCGAATTCTTTACAATTCATGTGAAAATTCAGCTTTATCATTAATTCAGCTTCTAATAAATCAATTGAGAGCGAAGAACGATTTAATTCATTAAACTAAATATTCGAAACAACAATGGGAAAAAGGGGAAAATTTTCTTTAAAAAATTTGGTCAGTAGTGATTTTTTTTCATGTTTTATTAAAAATATAATGACTATTAATATATTATTTAAACAAGTAAATAATTTCAATTATTTAATTTGTTACCTTCGTTTGAAGATAAAAAGATTGTCTCTTATCTCTATAAAAATATGGAGTATCCTCAAAATATTTAAATTTTTTAACAGACCCTTAATTAACAAAACTATACTTTCAACGAGTTGGAGTAGACTACTTTAAGGAAACAATAACGAAGTTCGTTTTTTTGAAAAAAATGATGTGACGAACTTTGAACGTGAACGCGTTCCTTTTTTTGATAAACGCGTTAACATTCATTCAATTACAAAAACATTTTATTTTTATTTATTTGAAAAATTAATATTAATCCGAATTTTTTAAGAAAAAGTTTTATTTTTTTAATCAGCTGTTGTGCCTTTTCGCATTTCAATTTTTTAACAAGCCATTATTATAATTTATTGATTTGAATATTGTTTATATTTTAATTTAATAGATTAGCATAAGCATGGATATTATTATTTCATCATCATCATCTGATTTTGAATTACCATGGCCCAAATATTATATTACAGTAACATTCTATATTGAAGGAATAAATTTAATACTTACCAAATGTAAAATATGCCCAAAAAATATTATATCAGTTTCAAAATCTTTAAGATCCAATTTAAAAGATATAATATAACTAAGTAACCAGTTAATAATTTATTTTAGATTGTTCTAAGTAAAAATCATTAAATTTCATATATTATATACATAGATAGAAAATGGTTGATATCATTTAGAATTTATTTTTAATGTGATTTTCTAAAATTATAATCTAATTACTACTATTTTAATCAAGAATTTTATATTTTAGTTGTTGAAGACAATTTGAAGTATAAATTTATAACTTTTATATGATATATAAGTTTTAATACAAAAATGATTTCTTTGAATCTACTATACTTAGAATTTTATATTATTATTCACAATATAAAAAT